TTCCTTCCTTCCTTCCTCTCCAATTTACAATACTGAGTTATACTACTCCTTCCAGTAATAGGATTGAAATGCAGTATATTCCTTGTATAAAATACACAAAAGAACTAGAAATAATCCACAATTGCTGGCCCTTCTTTTGGCCAACCACTAATCACTCATCCATCCCAAAAGGCTCCCCAGAATAGCCACTTGTTAACAACTTTCCAGAATTGCAACAGGGAGGGGACTGATCTCGTCTCTGGGGTTCCTGTTTCAGAGCGGGTAGAAACAACCAGCAAATCCCTCACTCAGGGGCTCTGGAGACCACTTTCTCCATGGATTGGACATGCACCCCTTCCCTGTGGGATCTCATCAGATGGGCAGATTCCAGTTGGGGAAGGGTGTCTCACAGATGCACAGGTTGATTTTATTTCTTCCTATAACTTCATAGGGCCCACTCCCATTTCTACCACAGCAACAGTCCTGTTCCCTTGGCTGAACTGGGAGAACCTGATTGCCTAAAAGTCCCCCATAGGTTTCTGTGGCTAAATGTGCAACTCCCTGGTGCCAGCCCAACACCATAACCATTATATTATACTGTTTCCATCTGCCATTTAATTTCACTAGTTAGTCACTTGTCTTATCTCACACATTTCCATAGTCCTCTGTTAATTTATACTGTGTTTAAAATTTAAAGTGTAATTTTTTACCCAGGTCTTACCAGATTCTTTTATATGGATAACCTTTTTGGGCAAGTTTGCTGAAAAACAAGGATATAAGTATTGGGTTTGTATAAATTCTGGACAGCTCTATCAATATATTTCAGGGAAGTAAAGACAAGATAATAAACTCAAATGTACCTGTTATACTAAATGCTAAAAATGTACTGTAATTTTCTAGATTTATGTTTTTCTTTGTGCTTACCAGATTCTTTCACATGCACATCCTTCTTTGATAGGTTTGCTGAAATAAAAGGGTGTAAGTATTGGGATATTATAACTTTAAACATTATAGCATCTCAATATGCTTAACTGAAGGCAAGATTAGATACTACGAGCATGCTTACCTATGTCTATTGGTTTTTCTTTCTTGTGTGTTTCTAGAAATTAAAAAGAACACCAGAACATGACTTCTGCATTAGGGTGCTTACAATAAATAGTATTCTTTCTTCCCATTTCTCCCCACGACAACCACCTTGTGAGGTTGGTTGGGCTGAGACAGACTGACTGGCCCAAAGTCACTCAGTCAAGTTCTGTGGCTGAGGGTTGTGATGGAATGGACTTATGAAGGCCAGGCTCAGGGAGATAAGTGTGTTCTTAGCCCCCAGCAGGAGCATGGGAAGTTCAAGAAGATGAAGCTGGCATCTCTCTAAGGAATTCACGGTGTTTTGGCTGGCTGGCTTGGGGTCAGTCTGGGGAGATTTTCTGTCTGGAGGTTGTAGCTAATAAATGCCACAGAACTGTATTGGCATTGTTTCTTGGAGTTCTTTGGGCTGAACCTGACATCAACCAATCAGGTAGACTCAAACCTAGGTCTCCCTGTTCCCAGTTTGACCTCTTCAGCACTATATCACCCCAGTTCTTGTTTGCCATTTTACTTCAGGACTTAGGCACTTTTTGCAGCCCTACCAGGTAGACCAGACTGTGAAATCAATTCCACAGGAAGGCTAAAACTACTTTTATTGAGATTGGTTATAATAATAAAATCTTTCAATCAATACATCAACTTGTGCTGTATCTCCTCCTTCCTCTTATACTTAGCAAATTAGGGAGGCATCTGCCTGAGCCACTTCCAAAAGTTATCTGGACATTCTGGACTTTAAAAAAATGTTTTATCCCTTGTCCCCTTGGCAACAGAGCTTGCCTATTACCATCAAGGTCATCTTCCTTACTCTCTACATATTTCCTATAGCACATTTATTTCCCCTGTTTTACGTTAATTTATATTAAATGTTAAAAGTAGAAAGTGCAGGAGATATGAATCCATGGCACTGATTCTTCAACATCTCTTCACTTACTGACCACAAGGGAGAAACTGGATATTGATAGATAAATGAGGATTTGTTTTGCTTCCCCTTTTTATCTATCATTCTGCCTGCTGTTTGTTTTATAAGCTTGCTAATCTGCACTCACTTCGTTCTGCCTTTGCTCCAGGAATACATGCATGGAATGCATTCTCTTTGACTTTTCCCCTGGTAGGATGTAGCTAGTTAGATAATACCCTTTGCCTATTCCTATAATGTACTGTCTGTGAGTAACTCTCCTTTTTCTTATAGATATAAAACCTGCTCAACTAGTAATAACTCAGGCCAGATTCCAGCTCACACAAACACACCACCTCCTACAAAAAGTGTACTTTGCTAGATTTATTTTTACCCAAGTCTTGCCAGATTCTTTCATATGCTTATCCTTCTCTGAAAACTTGGCTAAAAAAAAATGTTTTGGGTTATTATAAATTTTGAACAGCACACCATGTCAATAGTATGCTGCAGGGAGGCAAGTTAAGAAAATTTAAGAATATTTACCTATTTCTGTTGTTTTTTCTTTCTTATGTGGCTCTAGAAATAAGAGGAAGATAAAAACATTTCTGCACTGGAATGTTCATAGTAAAGATTAGGGTAATTTCATACATTGCAGAAAGAGAAATCAAAGACTGAGATCACTTAAAATTAGTGAATCTTCTGATTTTGCAATTAAAATAAAGCAGGGATTAGAAGGGCTTTTCTGAAAAGATAATCCACAATGGACAGAATGTATCTTACTTTCAATGTTTGTTATTTTAGTTCACTAGTTAGTCACTTTTATGGCATACTCATTTCAACAGCTTTGTGATCAACATGGAAAGTGTAAATTCCTAGATTTGTTTTTACATAGGCCTTACCGGTTCTGTTTACATGCACGTCCTTCTTTGGCAGTTTGGCTAAAAGAAGGTTTACACATTTGATTATTATAAATCTTGAACATCAATAATCAACATCCATATCATATCCATATATTTCAGGAAAGCTAAAGTAAAGAAATAAGATCATATTTACCTGTTTTGATTGGCTTTTCTTTCTTGTGTGGTTCTGGAAAAGAGAAAGCCCAGAGAGATGGACTATTTATCGGAAAGAGTGGCATAATTCCATAATTTTTACAGAATGAAATGATAGGCTGAGATCACAGTTAGTCTTTTGATTCCACAGTGAAAACGAAGCAGAGTTTGAAGGGGATGTTTGTGTTGAATACATCATCCCCATCCAACAGTTGCTTCCTCCAGAGTGCAAAATAGAGGAGGGATCATCTGGTGGCCTACTTTCCATTTCTATTCTGCTGCTGTGATGTACATAAAAGGCTTAATGCTGAAATAACCAAAGGCTGCTCCATTTGGGAATGTCCATCCTAATTACCCACTCTATTGTTTCCAGTGGCTTTGGAAAGTTCTGTAACACAAATAATGTAGATCATTGTTATTAATCCCTTTGCCCTTTTACATCTTGCCCACTGTTCTTGTTTCTCTCTCCCTGCTTTTGTCTGCCTTTTGTCTCATGTTTAAATAAATAAAACACCAAGATATATAGAGATATCGATAGCTATAGCTATAGAAATAGATACAAACTGAGTGATGTGTGTGCAAGCTCTGATCTGGATATAGGAATTGACTAGGAGTGTGTTGGCTGAAAAGTATTCTGGAAATTACCCAGAGTAATTTTCCAACAATTTGGATTAGATAAGTCACAATGGACAGCATACATATGTTATTTATTTATTTGTCTGTTTCTTTGTTTCTTTTTTAAAAAAAATATTTAAGACTCATGTTCTGCTCCAATTGACAATGAATCTGAGCAGCCTCCATTCCTTAATCCAGGAAGGACTGAAATGCAGTACATCCATGGTATAAAACAAAGAAAATAACAGTGAATGATCCACAATCACTGGCACTTCTGGCCAAGCACTCATCACTCATCCATTCCCAAAGGCTCCCCAAAACAGCCAGTGCTTAGCAGCTTTTGCAATTGCAACGGGATGGGGCTGACCTCATCTCTGGTGGTACCCTGTTCCAGAGGAGGGGGAACAGTACAAAGATGACCCTTCCTTAGCGGCCCTGTCACCAACATTCCCTTTAGAAGGGGACCAGCTGCTGGTTTTCACCAGATGAGCAATTCCACTCAGAGAAGGTGGTCTAACACTTCCCAGGCTTATTGTATTCCTTAAATTTACAGTCTGCCTTTTGTTGAGGATCTCAAAGTAACATAAAGAGGACTTCTTCCTCCCATATTTCCCCCAATAATCACCCTGTGAGATAGGCAGGACTGAGAGAAGGTGACTTTCTCAAAGTTGTCCAGTGCACTTCCATGGCTGAGGACAACTTGAACCTGGCTCCCTCTGATACCAGCCAAATTCCTTAACTGCTACACCACACTGTCTCCTGTTTGTCATTTTATTTCACTAGTCACTTGTGTTCCAGCACACTCATTTATATAGACTTGTGCTAATTAACAGTACAAAGTGGAACATGCAAATTTCTGGATTTATTTTTATATAGGTCTTACCAGTTTTGTCTACACATGCAGCCTTCTTTGGCAGTTTGGCTAAAGTAATCTAAGCATGTTGATTATTATAAATGTTGGACATGATTAACCAATGTCTGTATCAAATCAATATGTTTCAAGGAAGCAAAGAATAGAAGACAAGAGCATGCTTGCCTATTTCTATTGGCTTTGCTTTAATATGTGGTCCTAGAAAGTATGAGGAAGATCAGAGCATTATTTCTGCATTCACCATTTATAGAGAACAGTGAGTGATTCCCTACTTTACACAGAATTAAATGATAGATTGAGGTCACTTAAAGTCAGTGAAACTTTTAATTTCCCAATCAAAATGAAGCCAAATTGAGAAGGTTCTTCTGAATAGAAAACCCAAAGTGGGCAGAACGTAGTTTATCATCCAGGTTTGCCATTTTTATTCACTATTATACATTGGTTTTATGGAATGCTCATTTCCATAGAATTGTGTCAATTTATAGTAATTGTTCAAAGTGAAAAGTGCGATTTTCTAGATTTATTTTTAGATGGCACTTACCAGTTTTGTTTACATACACATCTTTCTTTGGCAGTTTGGCTAAAAGAAAAAGATTCAAACATTTTGACTATGACATAGATTGAACACAGAAGATCAATATCCATTTAATGCCCATATCTTTCAGAGAAGTGCAGAAGACAAAATAAGAGAGTACTTACTTATTTCTCTTGGCTTTTCTTTCTTGTGTGGTTCTAGAAAGTAAGAGGAAAACCAGAACATGATGTCAGCATTCGGGTGTTCACACTAAAGGGAAAAGTTCTTCCCCTGGCACAAAGACAGTGGTTTGTTCCTTCTCCTCCTCCTCCTCCTCCTCCTGCTGCTGTGGTTAGGTGCAGTAGCAAAGTTCTCCACCAAGTGCAAAGAGAAAGGAAATGGCAGCAGAGGGAAGAGGAACAGGATGGAGGAAAAGAGTCATCCTTGGCTGGGGGGCTTCCTGATGGGGGACTAAAATCAGGCAGGCAGAGAAGGAAGACTATGAAGTGGGGAAGGGTGGGGGTGGGGAGACTACCATGGTAAGAGGTGGTGTTGGGATGTGCAATGTCTGTTAAAGCTTTGGGGAGATTACTGTGATCGTATGTCGGAATGACCTTGGGAGACAGGAGGAAGACCCACAGCCTAGGCAACGGTCTGATAAGAGGCAGCTCAGTCCACAGGTGGAGAAAAAGCATGGGAAGCATTTCAGAAGGGACCCTCCCTAGTTTTCTGGAGACTAAAAAGAAAGGCAGGGAGAAATACTTTCAGTCTTGCTAGATTCTGTTTATGGGCTAGCAATTACTGATGGGAATCCTGAACTTAGGGAATACCCAGTTTGGTTTTTAGAGTTCTGAATTGCGTAGACCAACTCTCCCTACAAAGGAAGGATAAACTTCAAATGTGAAAGTTCCAATCTCTCTGATAGTCAAAATTAAATTAGCCATGGAGGGCACTCATAACTGGATGGGATGGTCCATCTATGGGTCTAGAGCCCAGCATGTTGGCAACACTAATGATTCCTCCCCCAGGCAACACAGAATAGTCATGGAGGAGGTCTGCCTCTGCTTCCTCATGGAAAAGATCATTTTCTGGTTGGATCAACTGGAGTAGCTTCAGCCTGCCTCAGCTGCAAGCCAGCCTTGAGAAAGAGGATTTCATACGAGGATATATCCTCAACTACTGGTAAGCAAATGATCTTGGAGTCAGGGCAAGGGATGAGCTCTGGAACACCAAGAGTGGGCGGAAGGCACTCTATTATCCATCCTTGTCATTTGATTTCTTTGGACAGTCACTTTTTCAACACAAAATAATAATTTTGGGTTAATTGATGGGAAGTGTAAATTGCTAGATTTGTTTTATCCAGATCTTACCAGATTCTTTTACATGGATTTCCTTCTTTGGCAGCTTGGCTAAAATGAAAAGTTATAAGTACTGAGTTTTAATAAATGTTCCACAGCTCAATATGCTTCAAGAAAGCAAAGGTGGGGCAGTAATTTATACTTACCAATTTCTCTAGGCTTTTCTTTCTTGTGAGATTCTAGACAGTAAGAGGAAGACCAGAACATTATTTTTGTATTTGGCTGTTTATAACAAATAGTGGGTAATTCCCTACTTTACACAGAATTAAATGATAGATGGAAGTCATTTTAAGTCAGTCTTTTAATTTGACTGTTAAAACTAAATTGGGATTGAAGGGACTGTTCTTACTAGATAACTCACAGTTGGCACAATGCTTTATTATTTATTCATGGGTTTGTTTCTGCGGTTTTTAAAAATTTCTTAAGGCTCATATGCATTTTGAATTAAAAGCAAGACTGAGCAGCTTCCACTTCTTGTTCCAATGACTGGATTGAAATGCAGTTCTTCCAGGTTTTCATCCATGTTTTAATAGGAAATAGTACTTTCTGCTGGATCACCTGCAGGCTGACCCAAATCCAAAGGATCCAATGTGAGGACATCTCAAGAAAAGGGAAGCAGACTGCCTCTGAGCCAGGGTAAGAAGACTGTGTGGATGAAGCCTAGTTAACCCACAGTGGGAGGAATGTTCACCACAGTACATGTCCACCATTTTGTTTCTCTCCTTAGTCACTTGCTTTATGGCATGTTCATTTCAACATTCCTTTGTGGATTTATAGTATGTGTTTAAAGAGAAAAATATAATTTCACAGACAGATTTCTTTTTTATCCAGGTCTTACCAGATTCTTTTACATGGATATCCTTCTTTGGCAGTTTGGCTAAAATAAAAGGATATAAATACTGAGTTATTATGCATTTTGACCAGCTCTACTATATCAATATGTTTCAGGGAAGTAAAGGTGGGACAAAGATGGCATATTTACCTATTTCTATTGGCTTTTTTTTCTTGTGTGGTTCTAAAAAATAAGAGAAAGACCAGTACATGATTTCTGTGTTTGAGGGTACATAGTAAAGGGTGGAGGAGGGCTGCAATTCCATACATTACACAGAGTGAATGTGTGTGGTATCTTTAAGTGAGGGAGTCTTTTAATTCCTCAATTAAAACAAAACAGGGTTGAAAAGACTCTTCTCATTGGATAATCACATCGGATAGAATGTTTAGCAGCCACCCTACTCCAAACCAATTCTGGGTGGCTCATAATGTAATAAGCAGGATAAAAATACAATACAGATACAAGCAAGACAAATAAAGAAAAGATGGTGAATGAGGTAACAACACAAGACATACATAAACACAACCAGCAAGGGCTCCAACCACCCTAGGCCAAGGCCTCGGAGAAGAGTCAGGTCTTTAAGGCCCTTTGTGTGAGCCCCCAGATCTCACAGCAATCTCATTGTAGAGGAAAGTCACCATGACAGAGAAAATAAGCTTCCTGGGTCCCCAGGATGACCCTGCTTGATTAAAGGAACCCAGAGTGTGCTAACCCTATCACCTTGTATTGGCCAGACAGACACCACCCTCAAATAACCAGGCCCTGTGCCATGTAGCGTTTTATAGGTCATAACCAGCACTTTGATTTGTACCCAGATGGCTACTGGCAACTAGAGCAGGTCATGCAGCAAAGATGTCACATACTCATGCAACCACATTCAGGACCAGTTGCTGCTTCTGAGTGGTCTTCAAGGGCAGCCCCACATATAGCACATTGCAATAGTCAAGCCATGAGGAGACTTTGGCATGAGTGACTGTCTGAAGGGCTTCCCAATCCAGGAAAGGGCACAACTAGTGTACTACTTGTACAAAGGCCTTCCTGGCCATAGCTGCCATCTGATCATTGAGCAGATGCTGGGAGTCCAAGAAAACCCCCAGATTACAAACCAGTCTTGAATGGGGAAATGCATCCCCATCGAAGGTTAAAGATGTAATATTACTGAATCTAGGTAACCTAATATCTAGAGCCACTCAGTCTTTGTAGGGTAGAGATGGATCCTCCCTATCAGGCCTGCACAGTCTCCAGGCACTGGGACAGGACTTCTACAGCCTCACTTGGCTGGCCTGGGGTTGAGAAGTATAATTGGATATCTAGTACACAGATGATACCAAACCCCAATCCGGTGGATTGTTTCACCCAGCCAATTTCATATAGATGTTGAATAAGAGGGGAGAGAGCATTGAGTCTGTGGCACCCAACGAAGGAGCAACCTAGGGAGCCTAGGCAGCAACATCTTCCCCCAAAAAACATTGACTGGAACTAGCCCCAAAGGAAGGAAGAGATACACCATAAAATGGTGTCCCTAATTCTTAGCTCCTGGAGCTGATCCAAAAGGATACCATGGTGGACAGTATTGACAGCTGCTGAGAAGTCAAACAGCATAAGGATGGATGCACTACCACCATTCCAGCTCCACCACAGATCACCTACACCAATCAGATTACCAAGGCTGTCTCTGTATTGAATCCTGGCATGAAACCCATTTAAAATAGGTCTAGATAATCCACTTCCTCCAGGGTTCTCAGCAGTTGTAGTCTGATCACCTTCTCAACAATCTTCCTAAAAAGGGAAGATTGGAGATGGGACAGTAGTTATATAAAATTGTTGGGTCTTGAGGAGGGGATATACCATTGCCTCCTTCTGGGCTGGAGGCACTACCCCATCCCTCAGAGAGTCCAATACCATGGCAAAGACCCAACCACAGGTCACCTTTCTGGCCACCTTCACAACCCAGGAGGGATCTGGGTCCAACAAACAAGTGGCCAAAGCAACAGCTCAGAGAACCTTGTCCATTTCCTCAGGAGTTACCAGTTTAAACTCAACCCAGATCATACCACAAGACTGGGCCCTAGGCACCTAGACCAGACCCACCCAGCCAGAATCCAACTCAGTGTCAGTCTGAGTGACATTATCTCCCAGATATCTAGAATATTCCCCATAGCAGCCATGCAGATGATCCTGTGGCCATCCTTGCCTAGGAAGGACTGGGTCACCCTAAATAGGGGCAGTGGATGGCTATCAACAGTCACAATAATGACATTTTGCTGCTCTTATCACCATGAGGCAATACGGGCTCTTATTCCATGTTCAGTCAGATTCACTTGAATCTTCCTCCAATGTCACTCCAGACATTTCTTCTGGGGCATCATCGCCTGGATTTCCTCAGTAACCCAAGGTGTGCCCTGGGTTTGGTGCACAGGGAGAGGCCACATAGGGGTTTTGTGTCCAAGGCCCCAGTCAACAACTCATGCCGGGCAGTAAGGCCTCACCCAAACTGCCACCAGATCTTCAGAGACAACCACAAGCTTCCTCTGGAATTCCATCAGTCACCTGGGGTGGGCTGATAGAATAGGCTCTCTCTTCCCAGTGGGGAGGGCAATGCCAGTGAGCCAGAAGACAATCAAAGAGTAAGCCACATTTGGTGTTTTATTTTTAGCAGTTAGTCACTTCTCTTGGAACACTCATTTCTGTAGTCTTTTATTCATTTTCAAAGTGGAAAATGGAATTTTCTAGATTTATTTTTACCCAGGTCTTACCAGTTTTGTTTGCATGCACAGCCTTCTTTGGCAGCTTGGCTAAAATGAAAAAAAATAAGCATATTGATTATTATAAATGTTGAACATGGATAATCAATATGCACAACACATCTTTCAGGTAAGCAAAGATGGGAAAATAAGAGCATTACCTATTTCTATTGGCTTTTCTTTCTTGTGTGTTTCTAGAAAATAAAAGGAAGATGAGAACATGATTTCTGCATCTGAGAGTACAAAATAAAGTGGTGGTGGTGGTATAATTCCATGCATTAAACAGGTTAAAATCACAGACTGAGATCACTTTAAATCAGTGAGTCTTTTAATTCCCCATTTAAAGCAGTAGGTCGAAAAGGCCCCTCTGGCCAGATAATCACATCAGACAGAACGTAGTCTCCTATCTACGTTTGAAGTTTTATTTCAGTAGTTAGCCGCTTCTCTTATGGAACACTCATTTCTGTAGTCTTTGGTTAATTTTCAAAATGGAAAGTGGATTATCCCAGATTTATTTTTACCCAGGTCTTACCAGTTTTGTTTGCATGCACAGCCTTCTTTGCCAGCTTGGCTAAAATGAAAAAAATTAAGCATATTGATTATAAATGTTGAACATGGATAATCAATATGCACAACACACCTTTCAGGTAAGCAAAGATGGGAAATAAGAGTATTACCGATTTCTATTGGCTTTTCTTTCTTGTGTGTTTCTAGAAAATAAGAGGAAGACAAGAACATGATTTCTGCATTTGAGGGAATGGAATGTATAATTCCATACATTAAACAGGTTAAAATCACAGACTGAGATCACTTTAAATCAGTGAGTCTTTTAAGTCCCCATTTAAAGCAGTAGGTCGAAAAGGCCCTTCTGGCCAATTAATCATGACATTGGACAGAACGTAGTCTCCTATCTATGTTTGAAGTTTTATTTCAGTAGTTAGCCACTTCTATTATGGAACACTCATTTCTGTAGTCTTTGGTTAATATTCAAAGTGGAAAATGGAATATCCCAGATTTATTTTTTCTCAAGTCTTACCAGTTTTGTTTGCATGCACAGCCTTCTTTGGCAGCTTGGCTAAAATGAAAAGATTTAAGCATGTTGATTATTATAAATCTTGATCATGGGTAATCAGCATGCGTCTCACACCTTTCAGGTAAGCAGAGGTGGGGAAATACGAGCATGGTTACCTATTTCTCTTGGCTTTTCTTTCTTGTCTGCTTCTGGAAAATAAGAGGAAGACCAGAACATGATTTCTGCATTTGGGTGTTCAGAGTAAACAGTGGATGATTTAATACTTAACAGAGAAGAAAATTATAGACTGAGGGCACTTAGAGACTGATTGTTTTAATTCCCCAATTAAAGTTAAGGTAGGTTTGAAGAGACTGCTCTGTCTATACAACTCACAGTTGGCAGAATGCAATTTTTGATCTATTCATTTTTGATGGCTTTTAAAATAAACTTCTTAAGATGTATATGTCTTTTGAATTGAGAACAAGACTGAGCAGCTTGTACCTCTTCTTCAAGTAATACACTCAATACATGCAATACTTTCATGTTTTCATCCACGTTTTGGTGGGAAATAGCACTTTCTGGTGGGTCTCCCACAATCTGGCCCTGATGCCAAGATCCGATGTGAGGACATCTCAAGAAAAGGAACCAGACCGTCTTGGAGTCAGGGCAAGAGGACTCTGCAGATGAGGCCGAGGTAACCCACATAGAATGTAGTCTAT